GCTATTGTTGAATATCAACTTCCCTATTAGCTTCAAACTAAATATACTTTAAGAGGCGACGGATCTTCTAAATTTAGTCTTATTTTTGAAGTAGAGATGTTTCTTTATAGAGAAGAGAGACGAAAGAGAACTCATTTCATTGTACTCGACGACGTTGGGGACGATCGGGTTTGCAAGGCAATTAACAGTTTCACTGTCGTTCTGTCTTGTGTTCCTGATCTTCAATCGTTTCGCGACATTCCATCTCAGAAAAACGGAAATCTCAAACTTCATGTCGCCTTAGTGCGGGATTCTAAGACATCTGACATGAACGTCAACAGACCATTTGTTTGGTTCCCCATTCGTTAACCTTTCATTCCGCCTCATAGACGCCTACAAGGCCGAGACCAATCTGGGCCCAGTAGCCTGTGTACAGCTGCGCCCCCATCCCCTAGGGGCCGATTTTGTTTTAGGGGAGGGGAGGGGGCGGCTGTACAATAGTAAGTACAATTCCGCTCAGTGCCGTAAGAAGCTCAGTAAAATTGCGATTTGAAAAGTCGATCTACACTAAGTTTTGGAAAATGAAGAACTATCAAAACCGATTCATTATCCCTAGTACTGCTCACGGCGAACTCTCGAAGCTGGCGTGGCGATGACAGGCGAATACAGCCGCCTCTCTCCGAGCTCCTGTCGCGCCTAAGGATGTTTCGAGGGGTAGGGTTAAATGTTTTTCGATCTATAACAAACATGGATGTGGTCAAGAGCCATAGTGGGACCTCTTGATGTGGTCCATTTTCGTTAAAGTTTTCAAAAATTGTTTTTTCACTTTAAGGGTTTGATTGAACCAGCTTTAGGTGCTAGGGGAGGACAAACTCGACAACTTTTTGTTTTGTTGTTATAACGTACCAAGGATTTTAAGGCCGAATTTTCCCCGGTACGTTGCTGAATACGCTTTTTGAAATCTGCGATCCATCTGAGCCGCGCGAGACGAGTCTCACGTGCAATTCGTAAGAGGATTCCCCGCGCGCTACTCGAGCTTGAGAGCATACGCCATTACTCGCAGGCTAAAGTTTCCGCTTCTCTGTTTCAGCTCTCAGCATGACTCTTCCCTATGGCATGATTGCTCCACCTGGAATGGACCCGCGGACCCTAAATTTCTACCCTTACGGTAGCCCGGTAATGAGCTTTCAAAACTACGCTGCCAGCTACGGACAGGGTCCACGCGTCAAAAATAGTGAAGAAACAACAGCGTCCGACAAAACAAGTACTGCGTCCACTCACGTAAGGTCAGTACAGTAAAATATCATGTGAATAATCATGAACGGTGCCAAGTTTAGCATCCCTAGGGTTATGTATCCCTCACCCTAGGGATTCACGTATCCGTAGGGTGAGGCTCGAAAGCTGTTCAATTTTATTTTTCACTTTTCCTCAGGAAAAGTAAAGTCACTTCCTGCGTGACTCGGTGTTGTAGGTTAGCATCATGAAGTGAAGAATGAAATTCAGGGTTTTTTATTCTTTCAATATATAAAAGCTAAAACTCGAGAACGCACAAAAAAATTTTAAATACATTTTTTCCTTGCAAAATACTGGAAAATTAGTTTTCTCATTAGCGCATTGTTTTCTAAAAGCGTTGATTGAGAGATCTTAAGGTCTTAACCGCTTGTTCAATACGGTGTCGCTTTTCACTCTACATTCTCTTATGAACGACTTCTTTGGGCTGAGGCTGAGCAAAAACTCAGTGATCGTTCTTATTTTGGGGGAGATTTGAACCTCAAAACGTTTTCAAGATGTTCTCAAATTAGAGGTTGTAAAAATGTGGTTGGCAGGCCTGCATGACTTTTATCTCACACGGCGGAAGAGGCATCAGTGCATACCAAGCATTTACTACATTGCTTATAGTAATTTCTCTTTATTTCTTTTCTTGAAACTGGTGTTCTTAACTGGCATTTAAGCTTGAGCTATGTTGTTAGGATGTTCTTATATGTTCTTATAATTAAAGTTCGTATAAAGAGTTTACTGTACTGATGTGAATGCATGGTTACTGCTGTTTTAATACGTCCTATACTGCCCTTATTTATTTTCCCACGGAGTACAACGACTCCTGCAGAATCAAGATGCCACTACTTGTCTTTTGAATCATAGCTAACAAGGACTATTAGACATCCGAAAATAATGATTTGTATATTGTAATACTGTTCGTGACAAAAGGGTACAATTTTTTGTGCCTTTTTTAGCGGTAGATAAAAAAATTCAGCGTCGAACGAGGAGCGGTAATTTAGATATAAACCTAACCCGCCAAACATCGCCATTCGGTCGCGGTGACACAATTATATATTGATTGGTGATTTTTCTTATGGTGAAATTTTAATGTTATGTAATTAAACGTCTGCCAGCTGGATTGGTATCGGGGATCAATGGATTAAAAGGTTAACAACCTAACTCTTAAAACGACTTTCAGTTCTACTTTCAACAAAAATTTGAGAAATATTCAGTGTCGAATTTTCCACCATTTCAGAAAACTCGCGTGGGAGGTGATTCCTCAATTTGAATTGTAGATTAGAAAATTCATCCCTAAATGCGGTAATTTGTCTTCGGATCTTAGCTTAAAATAGATTGATGCGTTTTGAAAAAGTTATTACTCTCCCCCTAGGGACGCTCAATGGGAAAATTTGTAGACTTTCGATACTCGAAAGCACGTTTGTTTATTCTTTCATTGTTCTAGTGAACGATTGTTTTAATGTTTGTGTTTTTTGGTTTATGAAGGCTAGCAGCAATTTTACAAAAAATGACTGTTCACAAACAAGCAGATGTTATTAGTTTGAATTATCGTAGCTGACCGCGTTTCCTTCGTTTGATAGCCAATTTTCTGCTCCAAAAATAGTCTATTTAAGCAATAGACCGTATTTTCTATGGGTTTACCGGCGTGATAACCCACGCGGGATGTTGGGAGAACACGAGAAAAGCTTGTAAATCACGAGCCGAAGGCAAGTGATTTACAAGTTTTGCGAGTGTTCCCCCAACATCCCAAGTAGTTAATTACGCCGGGAAACCCATAGAAAGTGTGGTCTATTGCTTTCATAAAATAACTTAAAGTTTTCTATGAGTTTACCGGCACAATAAATCATAGGTTTTTAACCAATCAGAACGCTCGCACTATCTGAGTTATTTTATAAATGTATATATTAAGCATTACTTAACCATTCATTGAAACATTGACAATAATAAACAATTATTGGATAAGGTTTTTGTGATATCCAGAATAATCAAGGTCAAGGTAAGTGTTACACAATATTACAGAAACCGAATCTAACACTTGTTTTGTTATACATTGTTTTGAAGAAAATAAGGATAAACACACCCGCATCGCACGGAACACAGTTTAACATTGCTCTTGAAAATCATGCATTGCGCGCGCAGCCTACAGCTTTGTCACTAATCTGCTAGCAGATGACTAATTAATCTGTAGGTTGCGCTGATTTCCAAAATTAACTGTAGGCTCCTACCCTTTGAGTAGACAGATAGCGAGAACAATGTATTTGTATAGGTAATAGCATGATTAGTAGTGATATTTGGCATAAATACCACGAGTGATATATCAAAACTGTTATACGTAATTTCACGAGCCGTTAGGCGAGTGAAATTTGAGACAATTTTGAAATATCACGAGTGGCATTTATGCCAAATATCACGTACAAATCATGCTATTATTTGTTTATACTACTACCCGCAAAAGGTTTGAAATTTTCACACGTAGGTATTTCAAATTAAGCTGAAATACCACTGCTCTAAGCCAATCAAATTACAGAAATTTCTCATGTAGTAGTATAATAATTGTAATTATTATTATTATGGATGACGTCTGGTAAGGGATGTCATTTAGTTTGGGTTATGTGACTTTGTTGGTCTCAATTTGTATAACTCTTTTACTCCTCACAGACCCACCGAGTCAACTAGCCGATCCTCAAAAGAACCCATGCGTACGGAAAGCGTTATAAAAACAGTAACAGACAAGCAGGATCCTGTAAGGAAGCCCAGCGATCCGGATAAGAGAAATGTAAACGACACTCAAGGCTCTAATATGCACATCAGGTATCCTGATAATGATACCGGAAGTGAACTTGGAAACTCGGTCGATGGAAAGAAAGTGTTACCTCTGCGTGACTCGTCGTTACGTGAACATTCATTGCGGGATGCTCAGCACGACAAACAACCTAAGGTAAATGACTTCGACTGGACTCGCGAAAAGTCATCGAAATCGAAATCAATTGAACATTTAGGAGCTGAATCTTCTGGCATTAAAAGACCCACTAACGGGTTGTCTTCTTGGACATCTGAGAATGGCTCGTTCTCTTCACACGATAAAAGCATTATTTCATCAGAGGCTCGTTCCTCCCCGTACCCCGCAAACGAACCACCAACGCTTGTTCCTTATCACAGCTCTCTTCCGCCAAGATCCTCATCCAGCTCAACACATTCAAATGTGCCATCGACCATGCCAAAGCTCACACCTATCGCTCCGCGCATTAGTAACGCCTCTCATTTGACCTCATCGTACTCCGCTGACGTTGAACATAGACACTCTCCTTCATTCGCTGCGAAGAGACAAAATTACGTTTATTCCACGAACCCCATTTCCTCTACGCCGTCTGTAATGGGTCACATCGGTGTCTTACCTTGGACTACAAACGGCCCCGGTAAACCGCCTCAGGGAGACAAGACGGAAGACAATTGGAGAACTAAACAATACCATCGAGAGGATCGTGATTTTAATAAAACGGGTGGTTACGAATCGGCTTCCAAAGTGCATGTCGCCAGAAACTTTAACCCACAACCATGGGAGCGAATGACTCATTACAGTCCTCTTGCTTCGCACCTGCGTGCAGTGGGTGCTGACAAAGGATTCGGCAAGAAAGACACTGAAGATGCGGAATTCAGAGACCTGTCTCGCGATACTTCACGCGAAGGTATAAACTCATCTGAACAGTCTCAAGTTAAAACTGTAGCAGCAAACAAGTTCGGGACTGTGCCGGTGAATTTAAGGAAGGAATCGGATCTCGCAGGCACTAAAATTACTCCAAGCGTTAGGCAAGAGGATTATCAGAGAAATCAGCCTCTCGTGGGTAGAAATGAGAAATCTGTTGTTGGTGAATACGTTAGTTACAACAGCAAGAACGAAGATGCTAAGGGTAATCTGGGGAACGTTATTGTCCATGGGAAAGATGGCTCCTTCCGATTGTCGGTGGAGAGGCGAGAAGGAGGCCAAAAATATCCAAAACCGGAGATGTCAAAACCTTCAAAGACAGAACACAACAGAGCTTTCAGTAATGGTTATAGTAATTACGATGGAAGGGGTCAAGGCTTGCCACATTCGGAGCTTAAATCTGCGCGCAATGATAAAGGAAAAGAAGATCGTGCGAGAATTGTCGAACCCCTGCGTTCTAGAGAACAAGCCTTGTACCAAGAGAACTCCGAGCGAAAATCTGATTCTCGAGAACTATCGTCTGTGAGCGACGGCAGGAAGAACAATGACCGCAACAATAACAGCACGCCTTTGGGCGCTTTTCCGTTTTATAAGCACGTCCCCAGTGGGTTTCCTTTAGGTGGTAGTGGAGAACAAAAGAGATTTGTTGATCGAGCTGTGGTTAATGACAGTGAAGTTTCTGTTCCGCCAAACGTAACACTTGACAAATACGAGAGGCGGGAACAAGAGATGGAGAAAAACGGATTGAAAAGGACTGAAGTAAACTCTTTTCCCAGAAACGTAGAGGGTAGTCATTCGTTTATTACAAAAGAGGAGGACTCGAAAAGGAACGAAGAACGGCGAAGTTTGCCGAGACGAGACGAAGCAAAACCGAAAGCGCTCACTGGAAAGTTTGAAAATGGCAAGCGGAGTGTTGACGCTGAAGAAATAAGTTCGGATGAGAATGACGATGGACACAGACGAGTAACGAGGGAGACAGTCTCCCCAGATAAACGAGCACAACTTCGAGTCGCTCAATCGTCTGACAGAAGAACTGCGTCTCCTGCGGCCGGCGCTGTACGGCAGCGCCGTCTTTCGTCTCCATTATCTGAGCAAAGAAGTAGCACCGCTGACAAAAGACACATGACAGCATCAAACAACGTCGGAACGCCATTCGGAGCCAGTCTTCAAAGTAGAAGAATTCCTAGCGACGGCAGTGAGGGTCATTCGCGAGATTCTAGTGCAGAATCAAGGATGGAAGAGCTAGGAAATTCTGGTCCTGCTCAGTTTCTTAGAATGGACGGCGGAGCGTTTCCTTCGCCCTACTTTGGACAGCTATTACCAACTCCGCAAGGTCTCTCCGAAGCGCCCCTCTTGCTTCTCGATCCAGCGTCGTTTTACGGTGCTATGTACCGTCCACATATGATGGAGACACCCTCGCAAGGGATTTTCCCACCGGGTGGCTTTGCCACTGATCCCATGACAGGCCAAATTATGATGCTCCCGCAGCTTCCTGAAGCTTACATCCAGATGGGTGAGTCATTATCAATCGTCTTCGATAAACATCTCATGCAACCTAGAAAGGATGTCCCAGAATGCTAGAAAACTGGGGCCGTTTCTGGAAAGTCCAGCGGACACCCTCTATTAATCGGACAGTAGCCGAAGTCCCCAAATTTATTTCCCTTATTTACTTAAAATGAAACCTTTACTAAGCGGACACCTCTATTAAGCGGAAGCAGACAGCTAAAAAAACTAAAATGGTCATTTCTATTGTTGCCAACCTGTATTAAACGGACACTTGTAATTAAATTCCACCACCCAACATACCACACACCGGAAATACGAAAGATTGCTTCGAATTGCCACCCACAAATGCAGTATTGTACAGTATTGTTTTGTATTTCGTTTTGTTTGTATAGAGCTTGTTTCACTCATCTGATTTCTTCAAATTTGAGTTGCAATCTGTTTATGGTACTATGATCAATTGGTTCACTTTGATAAAGAAATTAAGGCAAACGTATATCGTCATAGTCTCGCGGAAACCCTGTATTAAGCGGACACTTGAGCATTCCCCGAGGGCGTCCTCTTAACACAGGTTTCACTGTATCTGGAAAACTGTTGAAACCTCGATCTTGAATGTAAACTATAGCAGCTTTGCCGACCCGAGAATTATGGAGTACTTTCGGAAATAGGTCCCTGGATAGAGTAAAAAACGGTGCAGGGGCGTACGAGACTTTAGGTGGAGACGATGACGGATAAACGAACTTAATGATCGCGCAAGTTTTGCTATGAGCTATCCCCCATTTATCTTTTTACTCTATAGTGAGTACGACTTGAAGTTTAAAATGTGGAAAGTATCATGCAAGCAAACTGTGGGGAGTGTGTGAATCCTTTCAGATATTTTACCCCTTCAGATACTGGGAGTACATACTGCGAGCAAGCTTTTAATTTAGAAATCTCGAGAGACAGAGGTTACGCGCGGCGCGGGACCTCTCGCCTCGCGCATTTCTCAAATTCATAGCTTATCGCATGTATGTAAGTACCACGACTATTCGAGGTTTTGTCATTGTTTCAGAGTGTTTGTTTTTGTTTATGTTTCAAGTTGCGGCCGAGAACGCGTTTATGAACCCAATGATGGATCCAAGGTTTGCTGCCATGTGGGGAATGCCCGGAACGTTGGACGATCCCCAATGGCAACAGTTCTACCAAAGGATGCAACAAGAGCAGCACAAACAACTTCTTGAACAAAGCAAGCAAGAGTTCTTGATGGGTAAACAAGGTGCCCCGTTTCCTTTGGCTTCTTATCCCTTTTTCTTTGGTGACAAACGTCTTGAGCAAAAGCGGAAGGTAACAGTGAACGTTTATTTTCTTTATTATATCGCCTACATATGTTGGTTTGGTTTATCAGAAGTGGGTAGTGCTGTATGCACGCTGTCTGGCTAGCTCGGAGATGAAAGATTTTCTCGTCAATTCTCGTGCGCAAGATGGGGTTTGAACGGGGTATGCCTATTGGCGTTGTTTTTTTATCGTTTTTTTTTTTTCGAAAACACCGGGAGACTGAGTTCTGCGTAATCCTTTCAATGTAATGAGATCTGCCATTGATGGCCAAATAAAAGAATGAACTAAAGCCATAGCTAAGCCTAACTAACAGTTTCCTGAATAGGCTGCAGGTTCATATTAATATTGGGTCCCTGTCCCAAGGTCCTGGATCCCAGGCCAGAGATCGAAATAAAAAGCTCGGGTAGTTTTAATACTGTGAAAACATTTACAAAAATTTACATTTTTTTGAAGATAATTTAAGCAAAATGCACCAAGATCATTTGATTCAAATTATTTTATTCTGTTCTGTATCAAGGAGGAGATGCAAGACGTTACGTCCACAGAGCAGCAACCGAAATCACGAGAAATTCAACAAGAATCCTCGGGAAGTCAACCCAAGGAAACTGGCACGAGACCGAAGGTGGAACCACTCGCGCCACAAGAGAGGACACAGCACGTGACAACTGCTCCGCGTGACAGCGAGATTATTGAAAAGAAGGAGACAACCAATCAGCGTGAGGAAAAGCCGGTGATTGACAGCCGCAAAATGAAAGAAGTCCATCAAAACCTCACTGAAAAACAAAAAGCTGTTCAAGCTAAACTTGTTTCTCAGGTAATAATACCTTAAACCCTTCAACTTAAAGATCTGATTAGTAATTCTCCTTTCTCGCTGCTTTACATTTTATTATACGTTAGTTAGGAGAATTTGGGGTTATATCAATGTGGAATCATCTGGTTGATAAATTCACCTGTTCTCATCACCTATCTGTTAGAAATGTATTGGATGTACTAAGGAGAAGTTACACCTCAATCACTTCTGGGAGTTAAAGGGGTTAAAAGATCCTGTAAAAATCAAAACTCATGAATTTTGAACCGTCGGACACGATCGTTGATTTGCTACGCTCCCTCGATTTTCTCAAGTCAAAGGCAACTGTTTGGTTGGTTTGATTTTTCTTTTTTCAATTGCTTCTTTTTAGAAACGTTGGCAAACGGTTGCTCAAAATCATTTCGAAACTATACTGCCATCTCTCATTTATTAATTAATTTACTGATTTATATTCAGGAACAGATGGCCAAACAGATTGAAGAGTTCTTGTCCCTAGATCGCCTTTCGCAGTTTCAATTCCCAGGACCACAGGGTACCTTTCTCAGGGAACGCTCCTCAGTAAACCAAACAACGCCAGTAACAACCGCTTCCGCTGGAACACTTGAAGCAGATCGTAACAGCGTCTCTCCAAAGACAGTTTCCGCTGCCGTGACTCTGTCGAGCTTGGAAAAATCGCGCACCCAAGAGATAAATTCTGCGGGAAGATCGTCACCTCATCAAAGTAACGAGACACGCATTACAAGTGCTCAGAACAGCGTTGTCGACCGTGCAAAATCTCCAAGATTACGGCCTGGGACAGAGTCGACGATTTCTAATGAAATAGGTACGAGTAAATTTTACTGTAAAATCATCACCAAAGAGACGAACACTCATAAGCATTGCACGTAAGGTGTGCAAGGATGTCTACAACCCTTTATAGTGAATTATCGTTTCCTCTCCTCTGGCATAAACACTGTGACCTGGTGTAAATAAAGAAAGTTTCACTTCCGCACAATTTCTTTTAAAGTTAATTTAAGTTCATTCTGGGCTCCATTTGGTCAGCGTCACAGATCGGAGGCTCTGGTTGGTTCCGGGATAACGCGTAAGCGCTAAAGCTGTTCATTTTAGTTGGTAACCGTTATTGTTTCAAATTTTTTGAGGCTGCGCTAAAAACCGGAAACTAAGGAATCGCGGTTCCTGTTTCACAACCAGCTAGAGCTCTCATTCCAAGGCTCTAGCCAAAAGGATATCTACTCTGGGGCCGAGAATAAGTTAAATTAAGTAGCAAAGCCTTTTTTATTATTATTGATGTATCACTGAACCAGTCATTTAGTTGCTAAAGAGCGTAGGGAATGCTAGCCGGCGATAATGCTCTCCGTCTGTTCTCAGAAAACAAAATAAACAGAGAAAAAACACCTGATCGCAAGTAAATAGAAGGCGAGAATGTGCCAAAGGAGAATGTTCGGTGTTACCTTATCTTCCGTCATGTTTCGACGCCAGAAGGCATGTGCTCACGCCACTGGCCACTGTAAGGCCCGAAGCTAGCTTTGTTAAGTAATTATCAACGTTGAAATGTTAATATTGGGGCAAATGTAGTGACAAACTATTTTTGACTCTGCAGTAGAAAAGCCACGACGGCTAGAAGCACAACCCAATCTTGTGGGCGAAAGACTTGTTTCGCGGGAATCTCGAGAAATTGCTCCAGAGCAGGTCCCGTCACAGTTCCCTCACAAACTGATGGCGTTTGGAAGTATTGCGTCTGAACATCTCTTAAAAGAGAAAGCCAAACAGGAATCAGAAAGAGAGAGATATGAAGGACCGTTTTGGGCTCTCAACAGAGGTCTTGCTCTAAACTTTGACGAAATGTTGCGCGGTGGCACAGAGAAATCCCTGGCGGGAGATTTTGAAAGACACTTACTTGGAAAGGAGAACTCAAAAAGAACTGAATCCTACGGTGACCTTCTTACTTCTTTGGTCAAGTCAGAAATTGAACGCTCTGAGAAAGGTCGACAACCTGTAGAAATTGGATTAAGGGAGAGTGTAGAATCTCAAGTAGACCCTAGGGGAAATCTTCAAACTCTGGCCTCGTCTGAAAAACTATCACCAGTAGAACATCTTGATGGTAATCCCGATTATGAAGACGATTTTAGAACAAAGTGCGAGATTAGGAGAATTGCATCTTCTTTTGTGCCTCTCAAGCCTGACGTTGAAAACAAGGAAAATTCCACGATATTTTCACTAAGGCCTTTTAAATCCGACGCTGAGCGAAAGCAAATTCGGGATAACATCGATCGTCTTCGTTTGATGGCGAAGCGACGTAACAGCAAAGACCGCTTTATGGTGTTCAGTCGCCGAAGAGATGTTCGGAGTCCAACGACAATTCTGAATAGTGTAACGAGTGCTATTAACGATGTGGCGGGTTTGGAAGCGGTTGAGAAAGAAATGCGGATGAAACTAGCCGAGTTACAGAAAAGATATAGAGAGAAAGTCAGGGAGCTCGCCCGGCTACAGCCCAAATATAGGTAATATTATTAATTATTAAAAACTGAATCATTGGATAATGCAACTCTAGAGCTCTGATTGGCTTAGCCATCATACTACACAAGGGCATTATACCATGCTCTCCAAAAAAAGGTAACTGTACGCGTCTGCTCAAAACTAAAAACAAGGTTGAAAATCGTTTGTTTTTCTAAGTGAAGTCGGAAAGAGTTCTCGATATTTTGTGAGCGTTTTTGATAAAACAATTATTTCACTCGCGCTTGTTGGATATGAGACGGTTATAGCCATTTCGGCGCTACGCGCCTGGTTGTCTCCCTACCATCTCATATCCAACGCGCACTCGTGGAATAATTGTTAATTGTTTAGTTGACCTAATCATTCTGGGAAAATCAACACGTGTGCACCGAAAGGAAGTCGTGTACAACGGATGTCCTTTGTTTGATTTAAGTTATCGTGGTAATAGTCAACACTAAAAAGTTGAAAAATACGTTCAAAGAATATCATCGCAGAAAAAGACGCAACTTATGCAGTTGCGAAAGGAAAGTCTGAAAAATTCAGGCTTGCCGGAATTTAAATGCTAACCTCTGCGATAGCAGTGCTCTGCTTTACCAAATTTTGTTACCAAGCCAACTGGGAGCTGGGGCCCGTTTCTCGAAAGTCCCGATAATTAACGGGCCCGGTAAGCTGTCTCGGTTTCCATTAAAGATCGAGGTTTCAATAGTTTTGCATCTAACATGATAAAACTATCAGAAAAAGAAACAAAATGGAGTTGTTTGCTAGCCAGGACCCGCGCTCTTATTCTTTTTATTTCGATTTGAATATTTGATTTCGGGCCCGAAAAGTTAATGGGACTTTCGAGAAACAGGCCCCAGGTCATTAAATTGGCCATTTCCGAGCTCCCCCGGGCCTCTGTATCAAAACGAGGTTAAGTGCTCAGCCTTTGATTTGAAAATGATTTTTCATTCTCATACAAGTAAAACTCATTTTCAAAAGAAAGGTTTTTGTAGTTGGCCTCATTTTGAAAGTGAGGGTTTTTTAAACTCGAAAGTGGCCTATTGGTTTCTAATATACCCGGAAAAGATGAAGATGAAATGAGTGAATATATGAATTTCATATATATAAATTTACTTGTAAAGGTAAAATTACAAATTCTGGCATGTGCTTTCTAAGCACCGAGAAATCCGCCAAATATGGTGTTTATGGTGATATCCTGCGTCTGGGAAATAAACACGGCTGCAAGTCAAATTTTTCTATGGAAACAGGAAGCCCAAAAGCGGATTTCAAGTCAGTTTGGACCTGCGGGTAATTGAAATCAGTCCCAGGTGCTCTGGAATCCATCTATTTACATCACGTGTATTGATTTCTTAACCAAAAGAACTTTAAAACCCTTTCAAAGTCAAATTTCTACAAAATTTCCAAATTTCATTCTGTGAAATGCTGAAAAACAAATGTTACCATGTAAAAGTACTACCAAAGAGGTTTGGTATAAATGCGCAGCGCGGGGTTTCGCTCACAGACTCAAAAGTTAGAATCAACTTGCAAGACTCCATCATTTAGTAAAAGGGAACTTCTTTAAATTGCCTCATGTTTCGCTGGATTTATATGACTTCGTCAAAAAGCCTTAGTTGCTGTTATTGTAACCTTTGCAGTATTGATGATGGTAACGGCAAATCGACACCGATCAAGAGAGGTCCCGGGAGGCCACGGAAGCGAAAGTACTTTGGTGCAAGTTGCAAGGGCGACAAGCATTCCCCAGTACCTACAGCAGACGAAAACAAAGAAGGCGACGAAACTCCACCAGCAAGTAGAACTCAGACTCCCGAGCCAAATGCTGCCGCAAGCGAATCAGAGAGCCTGGTTTCCAAAGACAGCGAACCACCCAAGAAAAAGAAAAAGAAGACGAAGCAGAGTAGTCACCCTGTGGAGCAGGAGGGACGCGCGACAGCGATACCGATTCTAAGGATGAGTCCTGTGGAACTTACAGTAAGTATGATATTCATCTGGATAAATGATCAGACATTTACGCATATGAATAAGCCATTGTGGCGTACTATTCAAGCACGAATGCACCATAAAAGCGGCATAATGATAGAGAAAACGGGCGTTTTTGGCGCAGCAGTGTAAATAAAATTGTCATTTCGCGCTCTGAAACGTCTAAGAGTTACGTAAGGAGGAATTAAAAAGTGTGAAGGCTATTGTTAGAACCTGCCTACTCCACGATGAAGAAATAAAGAGTACTGCGCGTTCATGGTAACCAATGAAATATACTCCTGTTGAGCATTTTACAATAACAATAAGCGATATGACAGACCTAGAAGCTTTCACCGACTGTAATATAATTGGATGTTACGAGAACAATACCCATTTCTCCCGATGACTTGACTAGATATTCACCATACAGCAATAGTATGCTTTTACCTAATGATAGGACTTACGTACGTACATTTATGTTCACAGAAATATTCACATTACAAAAAAGTACGCATGCATTAAACTATGATTCAAAAACAGTGGGGACAGGCTCGAATAGCCGCCATAAAATATGCAAAGGTGTCATATAAAGAAGAAAGCAAATTGTTACTCTAGTGGGAATTCTATTTCCTCTTCTGTTTCAGATAATTTAATTTATAAAATGTTAGTTTCAATTTTTATAATTATGTTCTCTTCTGTACAAAATTTCAAAGCAAACCTGAGATTTTCCTCTCAAGTCGATTCAATGTCACTCAGTTACCGAGTTTGTGACCTCTTCTTTAGGATATACAAGTTCACAGTACGAAGAAAAAGAAATCTCGCAAGCCATCTGGTGTAGAAGAAGAGGTAAGTGATTTTTTACTGGTACTAAGCAAACTGTCTTTCCGTGTCGCTTGCCTAGAAGCTCCTCGTATCTCTAGGTATGTTTCAACAATAAAGTTACTATTTTAGGCGTATTTAAATCCATTTTCCAGGGCAGGGTTCCTGGGTTAAACCCAGGCCCCAGTTGTTGAAAAGGTGCATAACGCTATCTACTGGATAAATCTATATCGATTAGATAGTGCAATTGGTTTCCCTTATACTCATTCACTGGATAGTCATTTATCCGGTGGAAAGCGCTATCCGACATTTGAACAACCGGGGCCAGGAGGCTCCAATTCTTTTTTTTTTTTAATGTTTCTTTTTGTGGAGGGGCGGAGTCAGGAGTGGAGCAAACAAAGTGTATCGTAGGCAATTAAAAAACAGATAATGCCTTTCCTCGGAGGTGGCAGTTTCCAGGCACGTTCGCGTATTTCTCAAATCCGAGTTGTTTTTTTGTTTTTCGCGTTTGTGCATTTCGCCCTCTCTTCTAACCCTCAGAAAGGTCCACACGTTGTCTGTAAATCAGTCTCTCATGAGAGAGTAGCATTTAACACGGAGACGCCAGGCTTAAAATTCTTCACAGTGAAACATTCTTAAGCTCCGTGAAGCTACTTTCCTTTTTTTCGTTCACTTGTACAGTAAAAACACACTAGTAAGAACCTGGTTTTGAAAAACCTGTTAAGCTAAAATTTTCCAGTTAAGCCCCCTCTATACAAGAACCTGTTTTTTGAAACACGCTCGCAGTTTCTAAAATCTATATCGGTACTCTTGAGCAAGTAAGATGGGTCAACATTCAGGATTCTCTTTGGAGACATAGGTGCCTGATTACTCCCACTGCAATTATATGATGGTATGCAGGGTTTATATAAGGAATAAGCCGAACACCGATAAATACTCTTAGCTACAATGTTGCTTTTTTAAGAAAATAGGAACCTATTTAAGAACCTAAATAGCCTGATTTTTTTTCTCATTATTATCTATGTAAGAACTTCGGTTAGGCTAACTTAGCTAGGAACATGCGGGTTCTTACTCGCGGGTTTTTACTGTATTTCAGCCCATCATAACGATTCCCAAAACGAAGCCGCACCCTGACGGAAAGAAGAAGAAGACCGCCGGCGGTAGTAAACGAAGAAAAGGATCGCCGACCGAAGGAACACTCGATCAACAGGTCATTGTACGACAACTGCCTGGTGAGTAAAAAATACTTGGCTGTTTGGTGTGCCTGTTTGGCGCACTAGCCACAGTCAGCCCACTCAATCGACGCTTCACCTTATTTCTGTAAAGTGGATCGACTAGGGTTACTTTCATTGCTGCTCGGCTTCTCGTCATATGTGGGTTGAGTGTGTTGTTGCTTTTCTTTTTTGCTTCCCAGGAATTTTCTCCAAGTAATCGGGTTTTCTCCTCTTTTCTAAACCAACGTGTTTAAATCCATGTCATTTTTTGAAACTGTCCAATGTCAGCCTTTCTAACTACAAATTTGGTTTGTCAGTTTGTTCAGTGACATGATGCTAGCCGGTTTCACTGATTTGCTTGACTGTTGCGCGTCTTACCACTCAAGTTCAAACCTTTCTTGCAACAAATCAGGTTATTGCAATTTGCGTGAATCCTGACAACTGATCGGGCAAAATTACGCGGGAGTCACGCCATACACGGGACTTACTCAGTTGCTGCTAGACAAGTTTGCCGTGGCCGGTAAAACGTGCAACATGCACAGATTTTGTTACAAAAAGTAGAACTTCTGTGTACTTTCTTCAACAACTTTGCGCAACCTGCTAGAACCTAATCATTGCAAGACAGGTTTTATTCATGGATGGTAAAACGAACAACACCGTTTTTCAACGCACTTTGCAACAATGTTGCAAAACAAGTTACCCGTTTTTGTTGCCCGTTTTTACGTGCCTTTAAACGCCACACAGACCCTCTACCGTTTCTAAAAAACGCGATAGGATATTGAACCACAGGCAGTTCAACATGCTTTCCATTACACACTGTCTATCACGTAGGACAAAAAGAAAAATTTGACTTTGTGGAAGACATTTGGGACGTTTCTTTGCTTTTTGCAGTTGTTCCTGAAATAAGCGCTGTAGAAATGGAAACTGATGTTACAGAAGCAGAAGTTTCATGCAAAAACACCAAGACCAAGAAACTAAAACCAAAGAAACGAGCTCGTCCCAAGCTAACTATCGACAATCTGGACGGTTACGAAGGCAAGCTGGACGACGAGTCACCACTAGACAGTACAGCGGTATCCTGTGAAACACCCCAGGCGTCTACTTCGACCAAAAGCAAAAAAGCCAAGGGTACGAAAAAGAAGCGCAAATCTACTACAAATACTCCTCCAAAGGGTACATTTGAATTTCCGGATATGACGTCACAGGACGAGAGTTTCTCCGAAAACAGCAGCAGTGTGTCTCCTAACGAGATTGCAAAAGAGGTTGTTGCTATGGCAGCCAAACAAATGGAAGCCCAAAAGAAGAGCATGCAGATGCAGTGTGATAATGACGACGATGTGTTTACATCCGGGCATGATAGTCGCGACGGTTTAAGTTTACTGGCACAGGCGTCTTTCGAAAGTGCTGACAAGTCGAGCAGGCGCAAGAAATCGCTAGACAATTCCGCGCTTTCAGAAGACCTTTTGCAGAAGAAAAGGGGAAGACCCAAGAAAGAAACGGAGTCCCCATCTTCTGAGCCAGGTAAGTTAGTTGACATCGTGACCTAATAATATTTTCTCACTTCGAGCTGCGATCCTTGTGGCTAGCGCCACGAATTACAAGTCGGCATTAATGCTGCTGAATCGTGAATTCTATGATCTGTTTCTCATGCTGACCTTAATTACTCTAGTTTGGTTTGCTTAACCAATTTCACTTACTTGAAATAATCGCTCTTGTCGCTTGTTTTGAAACTGCTGGCAAATCGAAGGCCCTTATTCGAATTGGCGTTTTTTTAATGGTGGACACGTATTCAAATATGTCATGTTGCGGTAACATTAAGAGCAAAAACATCAAGAGGGGACGGGATGGGCATCAACAGGCCTCTTAGGTCCCATGCAAGGTGTAGTTATCAGCTACTTAATACACATCTTTTTTCGAAGAGGAGATATTTTCCTCCGATAAAGACTGTTGATTCGGCACCATTCTGCTCCAGCGGTACAATTTAATTAAGTTGAGCCAGATAAATAATGGTGCTAATTTAATTTGAACACTTTCCTCCTAGACCCCGTCGTCGTTCCAAGGAAGAAGAAAAAGAAGAAGGTCCTAGATGAGGTATGAAATTACTACTTAGAACTTTTCTTCTGGAAAGAAACATATCGAAAGTATTGCGTTTTGGTTATACCGTTGGAGTCTATGGTTAGGACTTTGCGTATTCCCTAGGCCTCAATATTCCGCTCGGCCAAAGCGTTTCAGATCACGTGGTCCAAGCGAAAATGTTTCCCGCCCGTACCCCTCGAATACGTCACCGAAGTGAATTGACCGAGAGGGACTGTGAAGACGCCGTGCAGGGACGAGTCAAGTTAGGACTCTGAGAGTAGAACTGCTCTACTGTGTCTGTTTGTTCAATACAGTTAGGCTTTCCTCTTTCATAGTCGAATGAAGCCCTGATCGTGTGGTCTTTTGCAAGTTTTGCCAAGTCTATCTCTATAACCTCAGCGGCGTCGTTGCGCCAGCGTCTCGGCAGTGGCTCTCAGCAATACTCTTTCCATCTCGAGGCTTCCATCGAATAAGTTTAATTAGTGTTCATCCACAGTTGAAAATCGAGCTACATGACAAGACGATTTGCTTAAAATATAGTCAGTCTAGCTTTTGGAGTAAACCCCTTTACTTCTAGACCGACCAGCTCTTAAACTGAACCTGAACCTAAGGTGTTACCATTCATCTCAAACCTGTTTGGCAGAACCTTTTGCCAAAAGAAATTTGCAATTTCTATGAACGTTTTTTAAAGTTAGTTGCTTTTAGGACGGAAACGTCAGGAAATTTAGTAGAAATGTTCAATTATATTGATAAGTAGTACTTGTTCTATTGAACAAAAACGAATAAAGTTTGGGATTAAGGGTTTTATTAACTTAAGTGGGTTAATCTTTTATTAGGACACAACAGACGTGCCAAAAAAGAAGAAAAAGAAAAAGAAGAAGAAGGTTACAACACAGAAAGAAGAAATTACAGAGGAGAAACCTGCGGAAGTGCCTCAAGAAGAACGGCCTCAACTTCCCTCTTATCAACATCAAGACAAGGATGAGACGAAACAGCTAGAAACAGCAGTGTTAAATGAAGACAGTGAACCAGAAGAAGATGTGTTTCGACCAGCCGATGAAATTATTAAGGACTCTGAGGAAGGCCATCCAAGTGCTAGCCTTTCGCGGGAAAATGACGACTTCAAAGGAAGCATGTCATCGTTGCTAAGTGACGAGTGGCAACCCAGGAGGAGCGAACGGATTTTCATCAACAGTAGCGTGACCACCAACTCTAGTTCCAGTCCCTTGTCACCCACGACGAAGGGAAGCGAATTCTCTTACGCAAAGAAGACCAAGAAAGGGCCTTCGGTCAAAGCTGTGAGTATCAGCTGAAAGATATTTGCATTTTGGAAAAGTTGTGTCGAGGCTGTCAAATGAGGGATATTTAACAATTTGACGCCAGTTTTTTCTCGTCTGTCCTCCTTTTGATACCGGTAAAAATGAAGAACAAACAACAGAAAACACAAGGCAAATTGGGAAACTTATGACTTGGTGATTGAATACTGACGACAAGTAACGGAGTTTCATTGGTTAAAAATTTGACAGATTCATGTACACTAACACTTTGCATAAATTAGGAATTCGCTTGTTTTCCAAATTTCAGAAAAAGAGTGAGATTAATGTTTATTGTCCCAAAAAATGGGGGCATTTGGGCACAGCACAAGGTCGTAATCTAGCCCAAGGATAAAAAAATTTTGTTTCTTGTTGAACAGAAAATGGCCCGGTCAGACTCCCAGATTGAGGACGAAATGGCGGAAAGTGACGTTGTCTTGCCACAAAAAGTGAAGACCAAGGCCAAAAAGAAGAGAGGGACTGGTAAAAGCAAAAAAAGGATTTCGTCCGATGAAGACTACGAACCAGTCAAAGTCTCCAGAAGAGTGCGCTCTAAATCCAGGCAGCTGGTATAGTGCTCTTTTTCGTAGCTTTACCTAATCCCTTCTTAGGATAGATAGCGATAACAACCTTTTTGCTTCGTTTACAGGTCGACTTTGACGATGCAGACGAAGAAGAAGCAGACGATATTCAAGAGGATGAAGAGCCTGGCGAGGAAGGAGAAACTGACGTGGAAATAAACGTAACCGACAAAATGGATACAACTGTGACAGGGGAAGAAGAGCAAGGAAGACAGCAAGCTGAGGATGTCGAGGGCGGAAGAGACATTAAGCCGGAAGTGGAGGAGCAGAAAAAGGAAGCGGAAGTTAAGGATGAGGAAGAAGATTCAAAGATGGACGTGGATGAAACGGTAGAAGACAGAAGTGACTCAAAGGAGATAATAACGGCTGATGAAGTGGAAGAGTCTACCGTGAAGGAAAGCAAAGAGGTTGGTCTTTTTTTCTGTGTCATCGATCTAATGTCAACTGAAAATTTGCAAATACACATAACTCTCTAGGGAAGTACCCCTTCATGACTTCTAAGAGCCTTCCTTTTTAATTTTTTTAGGAAACTAGTCAGGAAGAGGAAAAGACAGATGAGGCTTCTTATGAGCAACCTTTATCACCAGGTTTGTTGTTGTTTTCTTTGTGTTTCGCGCGAAACGAGAATGAGTACCTTTCGCGCCTTGATTGTTCATTCGTATATTCCGCCAATAAGTAGGCCCGATTACCAGCCGCTGTTCGGGAAAATGAGTCCGCACTCATCCCCCGAAAGTGGGGAAGGATCAAAGACCGGACCCGGGAGACGGCGGAAATCGAGCCTAGCCAATAAGCACTGTCGATAAAAGAGGAGGAGTGTTTCAAGCACGAGGCGTAGAGCTTATATAGGCTGTTGTATCAGACGTCAAACAAATGGACTTGGTAATGTCCAGCCAAGCACTTATTTCTACCCGGCTCTACCCCCAAAATAAGTATCCCCATTTCTAGTGTGACGGTTGACTATGTATTGTTTTGTTTCAGAAGACGTTCGTTTCACGTTTTTGACCGAGGAATTACGGGAAGGTGTCAAGCTTCTCCTTCCTGTGGATTCTGTCTTCTTCCCGGGACGCATCAGTACTTTCAATGAACCTGACTTGTAAGTGGATCTACATAAAGTTTTCCAAAGAGTTGCCTTGAAGTTGATTTGCACTGACGCGTTTTTGGCTACGCACGTTAACGCACGTAAATTTTAATCACGTAAATAAAATGGAGGCAGGATATAAAGTGTTGAGATTAAACGTGAAGTTGAGCGAGGTTCTACTTTTCCGCTTACGTGCGGCCTCTCATACATTGCCTCTGTTTTATTTGCGAAATTCTTTTATTGACCCAACCTCTTCGGTTAAGATGGTTGAATATCAGCCTTGCTGTTTGGCGTTTTTGTGGACCTCAATTTGTGTCGCTAAAAAACTTCGGCAATATAATCCTGCCATCTTGACCGAACAAGCTCGCTCAGTAACAAATATTTCCTAATTTCAGATTCGGAGTAATCCTGGATGGTGAAAGGGGCCGCAGACCGCACTGGAAATCCACAGAACAGCTGCGTACTCAGGCGGTAAGTTGTTGAACTTCCATGGACATCTATAAACTTCTATGGACTTCTAGATAGCAGTACAAGAAGGAAGTCAATATTTCTGGTATTAACGAACCAATTTTATTTCACCGCAAAGAACTTAAAATTTCAACCTTTTATCTCTGCTTCCTTGATGCGATTGTTCCCTTCTTCCTTCAAAATGAATAGATAACAGAAATTAATGTGCACGAATGTTGCTTCGTTTTAACTCGGAGGATCTTTTCTCGCTAAAGGTGAAGGATATTCAGCCACCGAGTGCGAAGTTTATTCCGATTGGAACGCGTGTGTGCGCGCACTGGAGCCCGCAGTATCGATGCTTTTATCCCGGAACTGTTACTGAAGGTAGGTTTTTAATGCCCAGCTGCAATTTTTTTTTTCAAAAGAAGCCGGTATCAGCACAGTCGGTTAGTGCGCTGCATTCTGTGCGGGATTCGAGCTCTTTTCCCACGGCAGGTGTGACTATCCTCTCACGCCGACTTCATAGGGCTTTGTTACGCGTTCCTCCGTGGGATGCCGAGATGTGACCCTAAATCCTTGTTTCGACTTCTTATCTTTCTGTGTATCTTTAAGTAGCTTTAAGTACCTGTAAAATGGAGCAATGATGGAGAGAGAGGGGGGGTGGGGGGGGGGGATGAAATGAGCGCACCGTCGGCCTCTGGTTTGTCAGTCTAATGTACTATTTAGACTTGCCGACGTAAAATATGGACCTCGTTCAATAAGCAGTATCACAGGGATTCATATAAGTTATTATTCGTCATGGAAAAACGCCATCATGTACAGTATAAATTGATTGTTTTTCGTTTGCTTGCCTTTAGCACCGCAAGACGAAAAGGAGGTAGAAGGCAAAATCTGGATCGAGTTTGATGATGGAGACAGTGGATTCTTTCAGTTGAATGAAATCAAACGAATACACCCAGACTTCCCTGTGGAAGGTACAGCTACCCCGCTTCATCTCTTGAGGGTTTTTTCGATTTTTTTTTCAGCAGTACAGATCGTCACTCTTCTTCTGTTATAAGTGAGCCAATCAACTTAACTGGCAGAGTTTCTGAGTTACCTCTTTTTCAAAATGGATCTCGGTGCTTATCTTTCAAAGAAAAAAAAAATTACACTCACTTACAAATTTACCACATTTTCATATGAGAACTTGTACACCAGGTCTCGCTTTAATAAAAAGTCTTCAGGCAACTTGAACCGTGTTCATCGTATGGTTTATCGTTAGTGATTTTTCTTGATTTTCGTGACCTTTGTGCTTTATTAAGGGGTGTTATTCTATCGAGAAGTTAGTTGTTGATCAGCTTCGGAGCATTATTAGCCGTTCTTTGTGTGGTCACGCACGTGAGTCCTAGCTGCGTCACGACACACAGGACGGCTGGGCAGGGGACTAGAACTTAAGGGTTAATTCTACCTTTTTGTACTACAGAGGCAGAATCAACTCCCATCCTTCCGGAGAAAAGGCCTCGATCCAGTTCCTTTGGCAATTCGCAGCCCACGGCGATCAAGGATTCAAGTTCTAGGCTTCGAGCCGAGGAGAACACGTCCGAGTTCTCATCTGGAAACGAGAGCTCCGGAGAGATTCAAACAAAAAGAAGGAGATTGCGAGGGAATAGGAAAAGCAGAGATGATTTGTGGCTTCTTTCAAAGCAAGTGGGTAGCGATAGTAAGGACAGTAACGCAAAGAAGCGAGAAATCCATCGGAATAAGGCGAAGGAGGCTGAAAAGCACGTTGTTGACAGCACGGGGTCTCTTGCAAAGTTGAAAGATAAAAATTATGACAGTAAGGAGAGCCAAGAGAATAAGGTTTTGGATGCGCCACAAAAACAGAAATCAAGCAAAAACCGCGGTAAAGTAGAAGTGGAGTCGAAAGAAGCGACGAAAATTGCGGAGAGTATAAAACATAATTTACCGTCTAATGCGTCGGCGGAACTCAAAAAATCCGAGAAGGAAATTCATTCAAGTGACTCCTCTTTTAAAACAGGAGATTATGAAAACAGTGGTAAACAATCATCTGATAAGGTGGGCGCTGTGGTGGGAAACAGCGCTGAGTCTTCTGACCAAGGTGAGGACAGCGACGCGAACTCAGATGTTGAAACGCCGAAACAGGAAAAAGGACCTCGTGGAAGTGCAAAAGGGACCTCAAGGACATCTGAAAAGGACCTTAGAAGGAGGTCACTTACTTTGAGTCTTAATAGCTCCTTTCGTTCCACGCGAACCGAAGGCGAGAGCCCTACGCGTGACGGTTTGTCTGCGTCTCAAGACGAGGACAGTGAATCTTACAGTGACGCGTTTGACGAAAGTCCGCTGGTCGAAAATAAGTCTTTCCAGGTGGGCTTGTAAACATTCTACATGGTATTTTAAAGCGTTTTAGAGCGGACAAGACAGCGCTTGTTTGTCATTGAAAATTTTATGGCAGCACTCGTAGATAAAGAACACGCGATCGATCGAGCGTTGCAGATGTAGTATCTTGTTTCCCGTTCCAAAAAGTGCGCCTACAAAGCAAAGGAGCTGGGTGGGGGATGTTGGGGATGGACGGTGGTACGTATGAATGTCTCGAAGGAAAAGTATCCTAATCTTGGCTTTGCCTTTCTATTTTCCAAGCAGAAATCAAGGTTTTTGTGGGGGATGCCATCTTCCCATAATCAACCCGCCTTCCCCACACCCTCCTCTTGCCTTTCTTTAGGTCAGTCTTTACGCGGGGGCAATTGACAATTTAGAATGATGAGATGACACTGGTGTGGGTGTAGTTTGCTAATTGTAAGGGCGCATTCCACAAGTCAACTGGTCGGCCAAATTGTGTACAGCAGTGTGAACTCTGAAAAAAAAGGCCTATTTCGTTTTCAAGACGAACGGTCTGGCCGACCAGTTGTGACTTTTCGGCAAGCGTCCTGACTGACTTCTTGAAGGCGTGAAGACACATGTATTGACCACTACAGAAAATACCATAACATACCACAATGCTCTTTGTTTGTCACCCCAAAATTTTGCATAAGCATTGTCTTCAATTTTCTCTTGGGAGTTTGGGTTGACAAACAAAGAGCATTATGGTATGTTATGGTATTTTCTGTAGCGGTCAGTTAAGATGTTGCCTGATTTTCAGTGTAGTTGTTTCCACCCTTAACGCATGCGCATCTGTTCCTTTTTCTTGCTAAGTGACTTTTTGACAAGCCTGTACTTACGGCAACTGTTTATTTTTTTTTTTTTAGCCTCGCCTAGGCAGGAGACGCCGTTCAGAACTAGATCGTCTTCAAGTAGACATGAAATTTTCAGGTAAGAGGTGTACAGACTCAGTTTTCTTAAGGCATAACCTTAAAGAAGTGTTTTACAAGGACCCACAAATCTACAAAGGCCTGAACGTTACTACCCATCACCTTAACCGATGACTCTAAATTTTGTTAGTCCTTAAAGAATGTGATTTCTTGCTCTTTGACAATGTTGTCTAATTTATTTTTTCAGGGCCACTTTGGCAGTGGTCTGGAAAAAATTTCCAGAATAAACGAAAAGGAAAGGGAAAGAAAGTCTTCTATAAAGCTATTGTACGAGGAGACGAGACGATCTCTGTAAGTAATTCAGCTGTTTTTCGCAGCAGTGTTGTTCTTGCTTTTCTATTCAATATTACTTCAGTCCCTATCCTTGTCTTATCTTCAAATGAGTTTCCAGCAGGCTTTATTTAGGTTTCGCATGGTAAATTAATTTCGCCAGGCAAAGCAAAATGAAAAGTAGAGCCCAATTGAAGTGCAAAGCACGTGAAAGAACATAAGAAGACCTATTAAATTTTTTCTGAACGCACGCTTTTACTTAAGAGACTTGCATGAATGAAGTAAGATCTTTGTTACACATGCTCTGCTTGTTGCTAAGATACAGGTTTGAACCCGTGCCTAATAGCTGTGGCTCAATTATGACCATTGGTTTGCCAGCTACCTACCAATAAATGTAAGCACGCACTCAAAAAACAGTTTGACGAGAGAAAACAAGATTTGCTAGTGCAGAAGTTCAGGTTTCGGCAGCTTCAAAGGCTTGATGCGATTCAGCCTGACCATCCTTTTCTCCCACTCGATCAAGAAGAAGACAAAAGGAGGCTCTGTTGGCAGGGCGAACGGAGTTGGGCCTGTTTCCCTCTTTCCTTCCCCTCCTTTCTCCCCCCTCCTCCTCAACGCCTTTAATTAACCGCAAAAGTAAACGTTTATGAAGTACTGACAGTATCTTCGAATAACGAAATGTGTACTGTTGATTGACAGGTCGGTGATTGCGCAGTGTTCATGTCCAACCCAACAAAAAATCTCAATCTCCCGTATGTTGGTAGGATCGAGAGCATGTGGGAGGGTTGTGGTGGCAATATGGTGGTAAAAGTCAAGTGGTTCTACCACCCGGAGGAAACAAAACCAGGAAGAAAGCCCTCTGATGGGAAGGTAGGCACTTTTGAATCAGTGGTAATATGAATGCCTTAAAAAGGGCAAATGTGATGTCTCCTAGCAACAGATCAAAAGCAGTTGTTAGACAAAAAACTTGATGACTCTATAGGGAATGCCTTCGTCAAAGATAACCCATCTTGATTTGTAAGCAAATTTTAAAGTGGAGAGCAATGTATATGATATGTATGATGATAAAATCGTCAAAAGGGAACTTCTAATTCGAGTGCTGGTCCCCTTTTTTGCTCCCTTACCTGGTGCAGTTTTCATTGAGACAAACTGTGCTCATTGGCGGACTTTCTTTCATCTTTAAACCCTACTGTCAGTATCCTCATCCTACCACAGGAAACATACAAAGAAGATTGCGGACTGATGAGGAGAATTTGTTCAATAATCAAGGCCTTTTATACCACCTGTTGAATCTATTATTTAACGCTCAAAGCTTAGATCAATCTGTTACACATACGGTCAACTCTCTGAGAGAAACCTCTCTGAGACCGGTACGAAGTGTCCTCTACGAGTAATGTTCGTATGAAACTGGAAATGATCCTCGCGGTTGAATAAACAACCTGAGCAGTTGAAAAAGAAACTGTAATGTCCATCTTAAAGAGAGTCATACAGAGGGAGCAAAGAAAGGCAGGGACCATCTCTAGGTGTTCGTTTTACAGAGGTGTTCGTTAAGAGAGTCGACTGTATATCAGCATGAGCTGAAGTAACTTAATTTCTCTCCATTGTTGCAGCAATCTTTGTACCGCTCCACCCATGTAGATGAAAACGACGTGCAAACCATCTCTCACAAGTGCGAAGTGCTCACTCCTGAGGAGTTCAAACAACGCCTTCAGAGTCTCGATTCACCGAGTACTAGGACTTCTCTGTCAGACCGGGTGTTCTGTTGCATCGGAAGCTACGACCCCAATAACGAGACGCTACAGACGGAACTGTAATCTGCGCATGCGCTGTCCGGTAGATACGGAATGGTCTTCGCCACACGTTTTGTTCCAGTTTTAGTTCTTTGATTGGAGTTGAAACCATCAAACCATTTATGGTTTTTGATTGGTTTTAAATTCTCTATAAAGCGAACAGCTGGTTGAAATACCGCGACGATCTCTTCAAAATATCCCACAGAGTGTTCGTCGGCTTCTAGGAAAAGACAATGCCGAATAATTAAAGCCGGTAATTTGGTTAAAAGTTTTGAAGTAGCCCGCGAGAGTGACAAGGCGGTTCCGTTGTGAATTACGCCAAAAAGACGGGTGTAGTTGTCATCGTTGATTCGCGCATGTTTCGCACTAAAACGTTCACTTTTGCTCAAGCACTCTTCATCTGAATAGGTGAAAAGCCAGTTGTTAACTGAAGAACGAAGAAAAAATCTTGCGCTGGTTTCATCCCGCTTATGTATCCCAACGAAGGAAAGTGTTAGCCTCTTTTCTTGTCCTCCGGAAGTTTGGCAACTGCTATAAAATAATGCTGACTTCTTATCTGTCTTTGAGGTTATACGCTTGGTTTTGGCGAACAAGTGCCGTAAGGAAATCATTAAATATCACATTATTACTCCTGCAAAGTTTTCGACAAACTACAGTCTTGTCTTACCTTCGTGGAAAGTCCGTCTTCTGTTAATGATTAATTACTGATTCGCGCAGTGCTGCGATTCATTGTGTTTTCAAGCGTTACTCGTGCTTTATACTAGAGCCTCTACGTAACGGTCGCGTTTTGATCAGTGTACATAACTTGCACTACCTAATTATTCAAGTTAGAGTCCGCTACAAATAGAAAGTCCGTTGAACGGCTTCGCATTTTTCCAGCGCGGGAGTGACGCGTAAGACACGTGACGCGCTCGTAGTCCTCACAAGTCGAAATTATACATAATTGTATGTAAACGAAAGAAATCCAGTATTCTCTCTTAATAATAAGGTTTAACTCATGTTGTGTGCAAAAAATCTAAAATATTTTTTATAAGGGAAGTGTGATGGCGATGTTAATTGTCGGCGAGTTAAGTTGAGTTTTGTACTGTGGGTTAAAAGTAAGAAAAAAAGCAATCTGTGTAAATATATGTACAGTACACTTGTTATAAAGTTATCCTTTTGTAATATAACTCCACTAGCTCACGGCCAAATCTCTCGTTTATATTATACAGAGGAAATATAATGAATATCTAGTTTTAGAATGAGAAAATAAAGTTTTAGGTTTTGTATTGTGTCGTCCATATGCCGTTTTTGAATCGCCGATGGTGATCGATTGAAAACCTCGTTGTTCGTTTAAGGTCACGCTTGAAACTTAAGCTGTGATGTGTCGAATAGGCCATTTGTATGTAGCCTGAGTATCGGGCCCTCCCAAGGGACTAAGGAAGAGGAAGTTTTAGATGGGGGAATGAGGAGGGATTAATCCCTTCCCCTTTCGCCAAGAAACGCCTGATACTCCGGGTAATTTGTACATTGTCCTTATCTTACTACTGTGACCAGAATCCTTCCCGTTTCTACTATCATATTTGAATTTGGTAATCCCAGCAAGGTTTACAAAACAAAAGCCCTTATTTACACAAGAAAGCAAAACCTTGAAGGGTTCTGGTTGTAGTAGCAAAATGGCGTCATCGTGCATATGGCCTATCACACGATGGGATTGTTTTTAAGGACGAATTTTGACCCATTTTCTTTCGCAACCTCGTAATGGGCAATAAAAATAGAACTGTCCAGCAGTGCAGTTCGAGACAACACTGACCAAGTCTCACGCGCAACCTCAAAGCCTTCAGGACTTTCCAAGACGACTTTGGCTGTCACTCGCAGAGGCATAGCCAGATTTTTCCAGGGTTTCGCACAATTGCCGAACCCGAACCAGTGATAGAGTAGCTGTTAAATGGGTAGCATAAGAAAACAGCCGACACTTCGCGATGCCAATATTTCCTTGCGAATTAAGTGACTTATGAGGAGCGCATGCAGAGATTCCATACTGAGAACGTATCACTACCCAGATCTGGATAGTGCTTTTGATTGGTCGTACGGCGATGGAAATTTGCTTCAACCAATCAGAAGCAGGACCCAGATCTGGGCTCTTTCCTCTAGATCTGACGCGGGGAAACCAGTGTTGGCGTCGTCGGCTGTTTTCTCAGGCCATTTATGAAAGCGACGATCATGTTTTATAATCATTAATTCGCCCTTCACATGAAATATTTTGGGCATAGGAGGTGTGGTAGCCTTAGCCTGGGAGCAAGCTCTCCTATTTGGGCGAGTGAGACGAGTCTCGCGAGAACGCGCGAGTGAGCGGCCCCTCGCTCGCGCGTTCTCGCGAGGCTCGCTTCGTTTGCCCAAATAGGAGAGCTTGCTCGCAGGCTATGGTAGCCTGAGAAAATAGCCGACATTTTGCTACGCCAGCACTGGTTTTCCCTCGAAATGAGATCTGAGGAACGAAGGCAGAAATTCCGGTTTAAGGTCACATCGTTCCATGGTCAGATCATTCCAAGCCTGATCGCTCCATTTTATGGTCAGACTGTTCCACAGTTTCAGTGTAAAACTCGATATGAAGCGCGCCTTTTTTTTATTATTGGCTTGAAACGCCCTTGTTTCTGGTTGTGGCTTTTAAGACTCGAGAAAAGTTTTGACTATTAAGTGGACCAATCTGGCTTGGAATGATCTGATCTTAGAACGAAGTGACCGGATACTGCGTAGTGCTTCTGATTGGTTTAAAATTTGTTTCATCCAATCAGAAGCACTACCGAGATCATTAGTACGGAATTTCTGCGCTGGTTTCTCAGACGTCATTTCGCGGGTTAACCATTGGTGGCGTCTCGAAATGTTGGCTGTTTTCTCAGGATGTACTGAGGTATGGCTCTGGTTGGAAGTCACTCATACTAACATTAGGCTGATTTAGCAACAGAACGGGAACGTCAGTTGACGACGGCGCGCGCAAATCAAACAACTGGCTTGACCAATGGCAGGGTGGCAAATTAGGCACCGGAAGTCCGCGCACTTTCCCGTCGCCAAATGACGTTCCCGTTCTGTTGCTACTGGCTCAGCCTATTATACGCATAAACGTCCCGCGCTATACACAATCTTTCCTCTCTATTGTAGTCCTTTCCTCGTGTGACTGTTTTCCGTTTTAATTCGATGAAACTGGCAATTTTATCTCGTCCAATCTCCCTGGGAGTTACTCCCTTATATAAGCCATATAAGTATGTACCGACCCCAAGGGTAGGGATTTTGGGCCTTTTTGGTCTGAAAACGGGTATAGACTTTGCCCATTTTGGTCTGGAATCTGGTTGGTTTTCGAGGAAACTACGGGAGTGTATGAACGTATTTATCCTTTCAGTTCCAAGAAAATAAGAACGAAATAGAAATATGTGAATTCGAAATGCATTTGAAGAATTTTTTTGTTTGCGCCCTAATCTAAGTAATGACGACATAGTTTTTGCCTGAAGGCCAGTTCTGAAAACGGGTATGGATTTTAGAGGTCTGGTTTGAAAAAGGGTGAGGAAAATGGCATTTTTTGGTCTAATATAGGTTCGGGATTTGGAGAATCGGGAGGCACACCCTCACCAAGAATTCCCAGGAGTACCCCCCCCCCGGGTCTAATCTTTTTTTCCATATTTACTACAATAATGACAAATAACGTATATTTAAAGACCTCTGCAATTTCACACAAAAAGATATTCAAGTGTTCAATTTTTAGTCCTGAGCCTGATCAATAGATCATTCTTTACATTTTAATCTGATCCTAATCGACTTCGCCGGAAAATAGCCTTAAGTGCATCTCTGCAAACTTGGATCAGATCAATTAACAGAGTATTAGCATTGATTTCTTCCTGAGTTTTGAGGTCACATTATATGATATGGCTTTCGACAAACTGTCATGGGGTTCTCGCTGCATTTCGAAAAAAATGACGCGCTTTTCCTCGTCCGCCCCGGCTGGCACTCTATAAGTTCAAAGCATTTGCCCTGGGGTACTCCTGAGAATTCTCTTTCGGGTTGTGGCACCCGATTCTCCAAATCATGACATTCATACATTTCCGTAGTTCCCTCGAAAACTATACCCGATACCAGACAGTGTCCAGACCAAAATAGGCAAAGCCAATACCCCTATTCAGACCGAAACAGCGCAGCACATACTTTTATGAGTTGCATAAGCAGCCCCCTGGGGCATTTGCTAGTGTTCACATCGTTTCATGAAAAAAAAAATACATTTTCCTAGTCAGATGAAAAAAAATGTTTGAAAAAACACTTCTATAATATTCCCCGTCTACGTCGTCGGTTTTTCTACCCCTCCCCGTGCGCCATCCTGAATGTTTATTTCACTGAGGGTATAGCAGTAGTTAGGCCGAGGAGATGTCGCTTTTATAAGCAAAAAGAAATCAAATGTTCTTTAAAACTAAATTTACTGTTCGGGATTATAGACTATTAAGCAGAATAAACTTTCGCGAAATCTGAATGAAACTGGAGCACAAAACATAGATTACAACCCGAATTTATTACGTTTTTTGACAGGCAGATCTGTCTATCTGCCGAAAGAGGCTACAATGGACAGAATAAAATTAGCCTGTACACAGACGTTGTTTTATTTTTCTAACATCGGCGAGCTCGCGAGGGAAGCGAGTGCGCGAGAACGAGCGCGGAATAGCAAACCCACACCCCCCTTCAAATCAAAGATGAAGCCGCGCGAAAGCCAAAACGTGATATTTTCCCCTCCCACCCTTGATGATTTGGAGGGGGGGTAGAAGTTTGCTGTTTGATTTGATTCTTTCCAAGATTGTAGGTTATGCTGTTGCTGGTCATTATCATGTTCAGAGTGAGACCATCATCAAGTTGTAGGAGAAGAACATGAAGAAAGAATAACAAACACAGATGATTCCCTGGCGTCACATTAAGCTACTCCTTCATACAAATTGAGACAAACTTAAAAGAAAAGGCCCCCTTTTTGAAGTTTGTACCAATTTGTATGAAGGCAGGAGCTCCTGATGAAGGTGACTTATGTGGCCGATGATTTTGTCCGCGAAAGGGTGTTTGTCTTTAACCAATTTACAGCCTAAAACTCGTGTTTTCTAGACTAGGCAAATGTCGTGACCTACCTCTTTACACTTCCTGAAGAAACAACTGTTTTTATGGCTTATATTACAAAAAAAGATCGCACATCACAATGATACAAAGGTTTCGACGTCATGCTTTTAACAATGTGCATTCCCCCGAGGGTTCCCCGGCCAGTCCACCTCGGAATCTCACCCACCCCCAAGAGAACTGATATGTTCGTCGACCAGTCTCTAGATCGATCTGGAGCTTGTAAACGTCAAATTTAGTAGCAACTCTTCTATGACCTCCTCAACCCAGGAAATTAGTAATCATTTCCTTACTGTGAGAGACTTCAAGATAAGATCGCGTGGTCAATAGGTTGATCCGAGGTAGGTGCAGTCACATTCCACGGATCATGAGCTTGAGGTTTTCCTTGCCGAGATATAATTATCAAAATTATCAAAAGATAACTGTCTCATGATGAGATAAAAATATATGCCACAAGACTAAAGTTTTGATCAAGTTTTCCCTTTTGCAATCGCTCGACTTCAAAGGGTTTCCGTGCGACAGCAGAAAGAACAGCAGACCAAACATCAAAAAGAGCCTTCACTCATTTGGAAATTGTCAGCGTCCACTGGAATGCAAGGAATGTTATTGAAGGCTACCAACCACGAAGTTGCAAGAAAAGTGATAGTGTTAAAAGGGCAGAAAATTTTCCGGCTTGTCGTGCCCTTCTGGCTTCATGCAGAGCTAAAATACTAAGTCAGCATCAGCGAAGCCTTCGTAATGAGCGCCTTGTGTTCTTACAATAAGCTGGAAGGCGCTTTTAGCTCGCGGTTACTGTGACATCTGTCTTCATATTGCTCGAGTCATTGACTGATTAGCTCTTGAATCGTTTATAAATGTTATTGCTTATTGCACGTCGAGTTTCGATGGTGAACATTATTTGCAAAAGGCAAGTTAGCTGATCCCCTCTTCGCATGCCTGAACTACTTTTAGAAACAAGCATCGACGAAGAGCCCTACAAAGGTTTTGACATGAACACAGAAAAAACGGGTGCAAATATGGCGTTTTCCGGGACACAGGCATTACTCCTCTGGTGTCGACAACAGACGGAAAGCTACAGTGAAGTGAACGTGATCAACATGACAACTTCATGGCGAGATGGCTTGGCATTTTGTGCAATTATACACCATTTCAGACCGGATTTGATGTAAGTTCAAACTATCTCAAGTTGTGCTTAATTTCACGGTGTTTGCACCGAGCCGGCGAAGATGCGGCATTATTCAGCTCATATGTTAAGAATGTGCTTTCTTTTGATCTAATTTAGAGATTTTGACAGGCTTTCGAAAGAAAACATCATGGTTAACAATGAACTGGTAAGTAATAGTTGAAACTAAGTGCGTGTAATCCGAAAAATTTCAAGTATAGTGTCAACTCTTGAACTCACTGTTGGCAAAATAATTGCGTTTTTCATGGTTAACAGACCTGTTATTTATCCACTTGTTAGTTTATTGTTTCATTACTGGTGTCAAAACAATTAGAATAGACCCTATAAACTTGAAGAAATAAGCGGAACGCCCTGCTCATTGGCAAACCAAACAAATGATATTGTCAGATTTCTCTCTTTCCGGACGGCGATGTTCACTAGACGATAAGCTACATAGAATTAGCATACTTTTTTTAAAAAACACATTCCGGATCGTACAGTTTGTTTCTTTTTTTTTTTCTCAGTTGCTTTTCGTTTGCAGCACGTACCCGAACCAATATCAGAACAAACAGGTTGATGGGTTATTTAGAATATAGGTTTATTTCCTGAAAGATGACTTGCGATCTATTATGCAGCAATCGTTTTTGTCGTGACACTGAAATAAAAATAGATCTTAAGATTTATATTGACACCCTTTGCAAACCTCTGAAAGTGAAATAATTGACTGTTAATCTGAGGGTGCTGAATCGATCTCTTATTTTTAATACAGTCGCACCCCGCTTTATGGACAGTGGCTTAATATGGGCACCTTGTTACTATGGACACTTTTCCTTGTCCCTAGCCCTTACATTTCCTCTGAATTCAATCCGCTTAATACGGACAACTCCTTGATATGGACACTTTATATAGGGGTGTGACTGTATCATAATGTTCACCTAATTTGCATATTCTGCTTGTATTTATGTACATACTGTGGTTTAATTTTTTGTTTGGTTTGGCATTTTTCGAACCAGTTTAATTTTCATTTTCTTTAGTGTAAAAACAAGCCAAACCAAAAACAAAACAAACAACAAATTAAACCGCAACTTTTGTTTGTGAATGGGGATGCTGGACAGAAAGAAGGAGCCAAGCTATTTGCACTTTTCTTAATGATTTCTGTGAATGATGGAGGAAAGCCAAGTAAAAAAAGTAAATGTGCATCAATTGTTACTTTTCTAAAATTATTTCCTAGTAGAATAGAAAAATTTAACCTGTGTTAGGTGGATACCCATGGAACCCAGGAAGTATCTGCTGATTAACCCATTCGCCCCTGGAGTTTTTGCCGAAAAACGCGTTTTGAAGCTAGTCGAGCAGTTTTCTGGTCACTGTTGTGCTATTAAGAGCTAAAACTTACCACAAAGCTGTTTACAGGTCGTACACTTTGCGGCCTTCTGATCCAGATGCAAACTATTCAAAGCCAAATTTCGAGATGACCCAGCAGTCTTGACTTTTACTTTTCGCTTTCTCTGCTCCCTCTTTTTTCATTTTTCTTGCCTCATTTTTTTTCTTTTGCTGGGCATTTAGTAGGCTTCATTCTGGTGGGAAAAGTTTTTAGGAAAGCTTTTAGGAAAAAGCTGTTGCTAATCGGTAATTATCAATATTAATAGATTTTTATCGAAGTTATCTATTTTAATCGGCACTTAAATTTCCATGTTTTTTAGCAGTTACGTTGTCAAAGTTTGTTGTTTCCGGAACATATAGGACAGATAAATTTTGATCGATATTTATTTTACAATTTACAGTCAATATTCTAATGAGACATTTTCGGCCAAACGACGAAATAAAAAAGATTCAAGAATGAGAGTAAACTTAACATAAACAATTGATTCAGTTTGCTTGCATTGGAAACTGTTCAAGTTGAACCCCACACTTTATAGTTAGTATATAGTTTATAGTTAGTGGTGAGGATACTGTTCAGTGTACATAAAGTTTGTCAGCAAGACCCTTGCTTCTTCAAAAATCATATTGCAAAGCATCATTAAGGAAAGAGATGTGACGTGACTATAAACCTATAAAAATGTGAGAGAAAAAGCATGATCATCATTTGAAACACAAAACATCTGCACAATTGCTAATATTGTGAACTGTAAAATAATGCATAATTTATTGGGACTTTAAAATTGATAAAATCGATAGCGCTGACAAAGAAAAAAGTTGTTGCTATCAATTTCTATTGATTGACCAATACTTGTAATCAAAATCAATCAAAAAGTGATTATTGACAATTATCATTTTATTGATTGGTTTTCCGATATTGGTTTTTATTGATTGCACTAGTCAGGTATAATCACATCTTTAATTCTTAACATGACAGGCTTTCAGTGTGGCTGAAAAACACTTGGGCATCCCTATGGTACTTGATGCGAGCGACATGTTAGAGAATACCATTCCAGATAAGCTGAGTGTTATTACATATGTGTCACAGCTTTATGAGTACTTCAAGAACAGGTCTCCTGGTAGGTGATTTGCTGCTCAGCTTTTATTTAGGAGTGTGATTGCATCATTTATGTCATTTATCATTTTTTGGAAAGTAAAACCTTACAAAGTTTTTACAATTAACTGTTTTTGTTGATTAGAAAAATTTTGCAATGTATAAGCTGACAGTACTGCCAGTATGTCAGTTCAGTGCAACTTAAACTTTTTAGCTTGGCCAGTTTTTGTAGAGTGCAGTAGACACTTGCTAATAAGAACCTACATTTTTTTAGGTCAGACAAAAATAGTTCTTTTACTTTTGGGTAGTTATTGGCAATTTATATTTAGGCTAGGTAGGTTCTTAATTAGGTTCTTAATTTCTATGAAGGAGATATAGTTTTTACTACTAGAAAAAATAAAGAAGAGCTCTTGAGTTTGGTGAGGTAACTCTAAATATTAATTTATGTTTATCAAGTGTGTATGTTTATTTTTGTATTTGCAGCAAACCAGGGCTATGCCACAAAGATGAACATTCAGCCCAAGACAAGAAATGAATCTAAAGGCCACAAAGGAAGCAAGCGCACGTCACCTTCCAATCAGATGTACATTCTTTCTGGTCATGCAAAAAGAGTTGCTTCAGCTCTTCGAAATGTCTTTAAATCAGATGCCAAGGAGGAATCATCGAAGAGCAAAGAGCATGGCAAGTACTTAGGTGTGGATCCTCTGAGAACAAACTTGGAAACAGTAAGTGTGACAGTGAAGAGTATATTCCTTTCCTTGGTAGTCATTTGGATGTGTCCAGAGTGTAATGAAAATTTTATATTACCGTAGTAATAAATGTTCTTAGCTAACACCCTTTTACACTAATTTTTCAGTAATTGTGCTGATAACATTTTTCTGTCACCGTAAAAATGATTAAAGTTTCAGTGATTCACTTTCTGTTTATCTAGAGCAGGAATTCATCTGATGAATCCTCACCAGGTACAGCAAGGAAATCACCTTTCCTTGGAAATGATTGCTGTATTTGTCACAAAAGAGTCTACATCATGGAGAGGTTAATTGCAGAAAGGAAGCTTTTCCACCGAGCATGTTTCAGATGCGCTAAGTGTAATGCTTGCCTTCGACCAGGAACATACCATTATTTTCTGGAAACAGAAAAGTTTTGCTGCTTGTTTGATTGTGGAGGGGGTAAGTTATTGACTGCTACCTGCTGATTAGCTTAATTATTGGTCGGGTGACTGACTGTAGCAATTGTGTTTGGTGAGATTCCTTTCCAAGGCAACATCCAGGGTCTTCAAAATAAGTTGAGGAGAAGCCCCGACCTGCCTTTGCTTCACATATACAAATAGTTAGGCCCGTTTTCCTTCTCTAATGAAGACCAAAAAGCATAGTTCCTTCTCACAAGTCCCTTCTCACAGAGCTTTTCTCCGCAGATGGGACCCTTGTAGGAAAAAAAAGACCCTAGCTTCTATTTCCAGAAAGCACTTAACTTTGAGCTCAAGTCTGTTGTGTTTGCGTTACCACGTAAATGGGGTTAAGGTCTTATAGTTGTCAACCTTAATTGAAGTGGCACTTACCAACTGTTTTGTAAAACATAATGTTGGAAGATACCTGGGATAAACAGGGGCTTCCACTGTGGTCAGCTGGTTCTTCCAGTGTATTACTTAATGTTGTGATTCTGATCGTCATTTCTCTAAAATGGAGACCTAAACAAATAAAGAATGATTTAGAGGGAGCACTTCCAGAAAGTGGTTATTCGTCTACCCGATTCCTGGTCAAATCAGATTTGGTTTTTGAGGAGAAGTGAAAACTGGAGTACCTGGAGAAAAACCTCTTGGAGCAAAGGAGACAACCAACAACAAACTCAACTCACATATGGCATAGATGCCTGGATTTGAACCCACACCACATTGGAGAGAGACGTGGCTCTCACTGCTGCCTCACCCTTACTCCCAAGAGAGACCTATTCATTTATAGAAACTGCTCTTAAGCATGCACCTTCTCTTTGACTGACATTTCTTTTTCTGTATTCCTATCTAACCATACTTTGATTTTTTTTAACCAACAGGAAAAAGAGAATCTCCCATTAAAATTAAGCTGGAACCAATGTCAGATGCGGCACAGAAAGCCTATTCTCAAGAGAATTCACCTTGCAAATCCCCAACTGACAATTCGCATGTAAACGATTCACCTGGGCAGGAGAAAAGCTCTCTCCAAAGACAATTCTCTATTGTAAAAAGAAATACAATAAGGTTAAATGCACTACCACAGACATTAGGGAAGGACACTGTAGCTAAAAGCCAAAAGCACACACATTCATCAAAGAAACCTTCATTATCACAACACAGAGGCAAAGGGGAAAAGAAAAGAAGATTTTCAGGAAATGGCAGAGGGAAGAGTAAAGGCGATGGGAAAGGGAAATATGTCAGGTCTCAAGATCATGAAAAAGTTTCCTGGTCACCAGAGCACAAACGACGAGCTCCTGAGACTCAATTAAGGAATGGAATGGAGGAGAAAGTTAATGTCACAGGTGCTAGTTTAAATAAGGAGGAAACGACCAAATGTTCTATACCATCATCCACACAACTGGATTTGGTTTCAAAGGAGAAAGAAGTGATTGTTGACAAAAGCAAGGAAAGTCTGTTTTCTAAAGAGGATGTAAAAAAGATTACTAGAGAAGACAGTGTTTATGAAAAACCGACTGAAAACCTCTTTTTTTCATTCAAAGAAGAGCTGCTAAAGAGAGCAGCAGTCAAAGATGAGTTGCTTAAAAGAACAACTTTTAAAGAAGAGTTGCTTAAAAGAGCAGCTAAAAGTGAATCAAATGATGACAGCAATGAAGCAAAAAATGATAGTAATATTGCAGACAAAAGTAAGTTAATAGAAAATGACTGCAAGCCAAGTTTAGTTGCATCACTGCAAGGTGGATATGAGGCAAAAAAAAATAATAATGTCTTGGAAAAAATTGATTTTTTAGAAGACCATGAAAAAAGGGCAGAGAGCAACGTACAAGAGGAAGATAGGGTGACAGACAGTGAAAGAAAGCATTCATATGAAAGGAAGTATTCTAATGCAAGTGTAAATAGTGATTTGACAAGAGGAAGTGGATCACGCAAGGGTAGTATTCTGGGTGATATTGATCCTTCAGTCGTTGGGCCCAAAAGTGTGCAAAAGTTGCGTGAGAAGTTTCTCAATATCAATGACATGATTGATGAAAAACACAAGACCATCATAGCCAGAAAAAGCAGTGAAATGCAGAGGGAACTGAAATGTATTTCTGCATGGAAGCAGCAAACTGACTCTCAAGTAACTTCATCTAGAAGACTTTCAGCAAACTTTGCAGGAAAGACAGCAGAAACCCGAAAGCCAACTGTTAGCAGCAACCGCAGAAGTGTGAAAGAGTTGAGGAAAATGTACATGGGAAGTGAGGCTGGTAAAGAGAAGGCTTCTGATGAAATTCCTTTCAGGGTAAGGTCCAAATCAATGAAAGCAAAAGTGAACATGGAACGAAAAACTAGCGCTCCAGAAGCAAAAGCTATTTCTTCAGGAACTAAGAAAACAGAGCCAGAAATTAAGGGAGAAAATTTCGGTTCATCTGAGAATGCTGACGATGAATCTGAGGAAAGTCTTAGAAAAAGAAGCAAGTCTCTCAATACAAATGATAATGTGGTCGTCATACATGTTGATAACAGTCAAGAAAACAGACAGGGTGACAATCAAATGAGTGAAAGTGCACCATCATCAAAAGAAACTAATAGTATGCCTCAGAAGACAGTAACTTACAAAGTGATTAAGTCTGAAGATGTCGCAAATGACGTTCCATCACTTCAGGTACAGCCAGCCTCTCCTGAGCCTTCTACTGGAGACCGGTCATCTCCTGGTTTAGAAAGGCATGCAGCATCGCATGACAGTGGAATTGACATGCCATTGTATGCGCAAAACAATGTACCTGATGAAAAAGTATCTGGTGAAAGTTTGAAAGTTTCAGCAGTATTATCCACTGCTGGAAATGAAAGTTCTGTTTTAACACCAAATGAACAACTGTCAAATACATCAGGGGCGGATGTTCAACAAAATTCCTTATCACCAGAAAGGGATTATTCACCGGTGGAGGTGTCCTGGACACTTCCTTTAACGGTTGGTAGCACAGCATCTCTCACTGATACTAGTTCATCATGTAGTTCACCAAGAATGTCTGTTATCATTGCTCAGGAAGCTTCTTCAACTAAAATAAACAGTCGATTTTTTACTGTGGAAACCATGGAACCTTGGGATTTTGAGGAGTATAGAATTGCAGAGGAGCACCAATGTGTGATGGAAGTTGAGGGAGAGTTTAGTTTTGGGAAAGAAAAAAGCAAAACTAGCAAAGCAGAAAGGGAAGCTATTTCATCTTTGCATCGTGATGCTAAGATTGGTGGATATAATGATACTGATCTTATCAAAGAGGATGAGGTGACACTTTCTCCAGCCGAGATTGACCTTGAGTTACAAGCTCTAGAAACACAGCATGGAATTCTTGAAAGAAGAGGCGTGGACATTGAGCACAGCTTAAGAGAGACTATGGGCCGTAAGTAACTCAACAACCAATTAATTCACTTTATTAGCAGTTTTTATGGCTGACTTATAATATTTTATTATTTGTTGTGGCACTCCGATGCATCCCTGATTTTATTGGAATTAACTTAGGAATTTTGGCTTTAGGGTAGGGAGGAACACCAGCAATCACCTGAACTGACTGTGCTATCCCTGTTCTTTCCACAAACTGAGAAGGGAACAGTTTATTGACTCGCGTGTTTGAATTCTTACAGGTGTAGAATAGTCTATGAAAAATAATGAGACTGATGCACGTTGAAAGCAGTGATAGTGTCTCAAATTCTTAGCTTTTAAAATAAGGAAACACTGAACCTGACTATGGTTTTGGCCATTTTGAAGTTTGTATAATTGCACAGCAGACTGTTGTAATTAAGCATCAGTCTGGCAGCTCTTAAAAACTTGTAAGTTTTCTTGGAAGTTTATTTTGTTTTAGTGCTAGGTTCTATTGTTAACTTTGTTTCTTTATTGTTTTCACAACCAATCCAGTGTGACCTTGAAATAGCTTCAACACCACACATCATGATTAGCTAGTTTAATTTTCTTTTAAAGCAGTATTTGTTGTTTGAGTGGCTTACTTGTGCTGTACTGAGTACTGTCATGGTTTTGCAACTACATTTAGCAGCTGATGGAGATATAAATGAAGCTGAAGAAGAACTTTTACGGGAATGGCTTGGTGTGGTACACAAGAAAAACAGGATCATGAGAAGAGAATCAGAGCTGATATACTTGTAAGTAACATTTTCATGAGCTGC